CACCGAAGTCAGACGCTAAGTGAAACGGCTGGCGGTGCATTTGTAAGAGCTTCATTGAACAATAGCGCATGAGAGCAAGCAAGAAGCCTATGGAACGACACCTAATGCATAGACCAATGGCGGGAATCCATGTCCACGCCTATGGAGTAGCATTTGTACCTTTTTCGAGCTTTTTTTTATTGCTGTTCCTGCCAAACTAGCTGGCATCGTGGAGCTGGTACGAAGGCTATTAACCAGCCATGCTTTCGGATAAGGCTCATATTGTCATTGTGCTTGCCGCGATAACAATAGCGACTATTACTACTAGCAGCGTTTAAAATGGAACAATGTATATGTCATTGCTTGCCCTAAGTTGGCCATTTACTCCGCCGTGTAATGTTATACGTAGCACCTAACGTTATTTAGCATTAGCATTCACGACATCAATGGCGAACTTTTTGTATGCGTCTTACTTGGTCAGTAAAATAAATGGGGACAAAATAATATTACTTACGGTGCGTACAAGCCTCACTGGAAATTCAGAAACTGATGCCTGAAGTTCCGAACAATGTTTACTTAGCTAAATAAAAAAAAAGATCACTTAAAAGCCGCTTTAGTTTTAATATGGACTTTAATATGGCAATAATAACTTTAATGTGAACAAAGTTCCCGTCAACTCGCATCGCAAGCAGCGGCGATCACCGAACAATGTTTTTCTAAAATTAAATAAAGCCATAAGGCTGAGTAACGCATCGCTGTAGTTTCGGTACTAATCTTCCTTTTTATTTTTACATCTAAACGTTGAAAACGTTGGGGAACAGGGCTCATGAGGAGCTTCTCAGGACTTGAATAGCGAACACCATTAAGAAATTTAAATGTATGCTAAAAAATGGATGTCTCTTGTACGTGTTTATCGTCGATTTTGAACCGGGTCGGTTTCAGGAGAGCTGTTCAGGTACAAGATATTCGAGAGGACGGCCCACGTTATCGAACGCGCAGGGTAAAAGAATCATCTTCTGCTTTTTCTTAATCTGTGCAGGACGTTTACGCTGCGCAAAAAAACCTCTAGACTACGTTTTGTGTGTCTGTAGTAGGCTGGAAAGGGCACAGTTTTGAAAAGGGTCTGCAATGTATTTGTGTAGATGATACATTTTGCACCGCTAAAAACAGAACAGTTTGGTGCCAGACTGTAGAAACCAGACTAGCAAAATTTATTTCTACTCTATTAGAACTAGCATGCGTTGCATACAGATATCGACTTGTTATTAGAAACCAATTAAGTTAGCACAAGTTTCGGCTTAAATGTTGTATGATAGTTGAAACGTTTGTTTACGTTCTCAAGCGCCTAGCTACAGGACACAAGTGAATAAAGCTCTTTTATTTCAGTTATCTACGTCGTGTCGTAGGTCGTTCTCAAGATGGGCTTACCCGTACAACAGAATCACCTTCGTCTGTTACAGACACCCTAACTCCAAACGTGATACGCCAATGCCTTATCCTAGCGACTCTACGAAAGCCCATTTCTCCTGCCCATCACTATTGTGCCTTTTCTCATCTTTACGTTTCACGCGCTAATCAGAGCAGTAGCAGCAGTCAGCGTCATCGATATCAAAGCAGCGATCAATAATGGCACTATCTATATATTTTTTTATACGCATATGTGCACGCGTTGATTCATGTGGTATAATAATCATACGATTGATTAGATCGATAAGGGAACCTATTTCAAGAAATTGTTGCCACCGTCCGCGTACACATCTCTATCAATCTGCATTTGTATAGAAGATCACGCAAATAGACAGGCGCCCTCGCACGTTGCGCAGCCCCCATATTTAATAGCAGGAAATTTATCAAAGCTGATTATTTCGATGATGAAAGAGTAAGACCATTGTTATTATGAATATGAGTGCAATCAGCGTCAGGCACGCTTGAGTCGTTCCTTTACTTTATATATTTCTACTCCGACCGGCTAGCCGCTTGTCGCCGACGTCCCTGTGCGGCATCGATGCACGCGTCGGACAAGGTGCGTTCAGCGTATTGACGTGTATTGGGAAGGCGTCCATCAACGTCTAATCTCCATAGAAAAATTGCACCCGCTTGTGGAACAATCTGTTTGCTAGCTCGCCTCTGCCTGTAATCAAACAACCAGAGCCATTATTATACATATATACTACAGAAAGTCACCATCGACGCCGTTGGCCTGTTCCTAGCGATTCCATAATCGTATCCATTCGTTTGGTTAACGGTTACGACAACGCTGATACCTGTAGCGTCGTTGTCGACGCTGCTGATGTTGTTGCTATTAACGGCGACTGTTAGTGCCACTGTTCTGGCTATTCCTGCTGCTAAGGGTTTTCGTCGTTGGGTCTGATTTGGCCGACGCTAGCCGTAATAGGACAAGCAGCGACGCTAACAATAATCGAGAATACCTGTAGCCGCTAACAGGGAAAAAGCAGAGGAACAACAAGATTAGACAGTGATGCTACCAGCGGCACTTGGTTGGCTAGCGAGCCATTGATTTTCCAGCGACATTACGTTAACCGGTCGGTGTTGGCGCCCGACGCAGGCATCACGTCGAGGCTGATTTATGGTGTATTCACAATAAAGGTAGATAGGCAGACATGCCCCATAGCAGCAGCAGCATCAGCAACAGTTAAGTCTACTTACAGTATAGTACTTACGCTACGTGCAGTATGTGGAATGGTTTATCTGCTTGTTTAGCGATACTAGTGCGTCGAGCTGTTGTTATAGGTGGAACAGATTGCAAGAGATAAAAAAAAAAGACCCAACGAGAGCAAAGAGGAAGAAACCGCTAGTTTGTGGTGTTTGAAAGAGCGTAATGGATAAGGGAGCGATAGCTTCAATTTGAATATCTCCGATTTGCTCTGGGTGCGTGAAGAATGACACCGGATGGGTAAATAAACAATTGAATAAGAACAAAAACAACACCCTATGGATGTGTATTGCGTAGCGATGACGAACATAGGATAACACTTATACTATTGACGCTGTGGTCCTTTGCCGCTGCTGTCATTTCTAAACGATTTCTGCGTGTACCGCACAATTACCTCTCATTGTACAGACGTCGACAGATCTCAAGGATGAGTCGACGCAGAGACAGTACTTTTTTCTGTTGTGGTAGGATTGGGCAAGAAAGATTTCATCCCAGTTGGAAATTAGGCATCTATTAATCCTGCAGGACATTAAACGAGTCTGACAATTGCTACGTTTGTCACAAACGACATTTTCGACCCGCGACTATATAGTGACAAATAGAATTGGTGGGATCGTACTCTTTCAGACGTTAGAAAAATTCAAATATCTCTAATACGAAACTGTGAAAATTGTTTGCATTTTACGCAAAAGGATCATCGACAAATGTCAACCCCAGCGGTTGTGCTTTCACACCGATAAAGTGATTAAGGCGTAATCCCTCCACGTAATTCTCTCGTACATAAAATGCCTTTAAAAGTAATAATTATCCGAATTGATACAATCAATTAGTACAACTAATTTACGTCTCTCTTTGCCGTTAGACACTCATACACCGAACGCATCGTCGAACATCGGACGAGCTAAAATTTTCTTCTTTTTTCACCGCTATCATTACTGTTGTCGTCTGATCCGCATTACTATTGATACCTACATACATACATACATACATACATACATATATGTATGTAGCTAATTTCTATTGATAATCTGGCAAGCTCGCCCCAGCGCCCAACGGCACCGACATGATCACTCGTGTATTCGATCCGCTAAAATGGTACCTGGATGATCCCGGCACTAAATGTACATGAAAGTTCGATCACGATCTATGAGAAACCAGTGCGTTATATCAGTGACACGTCACTTGCCAGTACGAAATGCATGCACGTGCAGCCTGATGGACAACCCAGTGACTGGTTCTGTTTGTTTGTATGTGCGTGTGTTTCAGTAGGAGAAAAGCATGTGGTAATTACACTGAAGACGTTCGACGATGGCGGCGGTAACGACAATTACTATTTCTATTGCTATTGCAATAATCGCTGAAGAATAGTGGTACACGGTGGTAATAACACTATGTGTTCCTGTTGCGTGTCCTGCAGATCCCAATGACATTACAGAATCGACACCTATAGCAGCATCGACTCAAATTAAATCTAACCCTGACTGTAACTATATATAAATCAAACGTATACCACTACAACGATATAACCGCTCAGCCCTCGATTAATGCCGGATTATCAAGAGACTCAATGGTATTTTATGTATCAATGATCGTATATTTTATTGAAGACAAATTGATTTGATTTTTCGTCCAAATTGTTTGCCTGTGTGTGTTGGTCCCCAACCCTGACAGGCGACACCCCACTTAACAACGTTCCCTCGTCGATTTCATGCAGCAACAGACGTGAACGCGTTCCACATATATCTGTATGAAAATCATCTTCAACTGGCACAGCGAACAAGCCGTTATAAGAGCGCACGGCTCTTCGGTTTTTTTTTTTTACTGCTGGGTCGCTAATGGCGACCGCATTGGGTTGGATGACACCGATTCTACTGTCACATCACATTAAAATAGGCTGTACACGGTGTTTGTGTGTGTGCGTTTTTTATGAGTGTGTTATACGAGGCGTCAGCCGCACGGTGTATTTTGCATCCGTGCGCTCCGCATCTATTTTACAGATACGATATTGAGCATATTGTGGCTTACTTACGACAATCAACATACCTGCTACCTCGCCTCAACGTCAACTCGAGAAGTACTATTGTCAGTACCGCGAGAAAGATCGTCAACGATGTTATTAATAAACAAACTATCCTGATTATATGCAAACAATACTTAACATCTGAAAGCGATACAAACTGATGATAACGAAACGCCGCGTCGATCTGGCCAGCGTGCCAGCGATAGCGTCGCTTCTGTTCGACTGTCTAGCAAGTTGTACGTTTACGCGGCATCGAATACCAAGACACCCCATAATCATGCGAACGTACACGTACAGCTATGCATGTTCCAAGAATGTTATGTTTTAACCACTTCTATCATTAACATAGATTTTCATCATGCACTTACGCTCTGCACAAATATGATGAACAGTTTCAATTAGTTTCGCGCGTAGCTTCGTACGAAGGTAGTGTTTCCTGTAATTATATCGACAGTTAGCTAATCTTATTTATCGTCTATATATAGAAACCATTAGAACTAATCAGCCGACGCCACCAATGCGCACATACGAAGTACGTTATTAAATCCTATCGTTACTATTTGGTTTTTATCATCATATCAGTAACTGTTTAGCTGGTTAGTCCGTCGGAAAATTTCGGCCAACAACTATTAACCTCAATATCTAGTACGTACTTACTGCCATAGCAAATCTTCTGAAGATATGAAAACACATACTAAGAAATACACTAAGCGGTTTGCCTTCAGGGTTTCCTGCTTAGTCCCTCTTAATTGATACCAGTTTACTGCGTTATCGTAACCCGTACGTAGGTAGTTCGAGTCGCACACAACGTAACTATCTCTCGTTTTTCGTGCAGCTTTTTTTTTGTTTTGTCTCGAAGAATTGCATGTTATGACAAAAAAGGCCCTCTAAGGCCCGTACGAATTAGGCCTTGTGGTCAAATCGAAATGCTGTCCAAATTGAACATTTTCGTAGTGCTTTGTCACTGTTATTGACCTAACTAACTGTAGATTTTGAAAAGTAGAAGGTATATTTGTTGCTGTTTCGAGGGCACTCTGTCATACCTAAAGGTTACACGAATCCTTCGCCCACAGGAGCGACTTATAGCACAGTCTGTTCGCACTCAGCGTCGTACGTAAGCGGTCAGCCCTACGATTCTGATAGTCTCAACATAAATCTGTCTTTCAAGTGACCAGCCCCATATGAAACGTCTATTGTATACGGTAACATTCGTTGATGAGCGCTGCAGCCTCGAGTTCAATTTTAGCTAGCCACAGCTTTAACGCCCATTGGTGTTCTATTATTCATTAAATTGACCGGCCGCAAGGAGGAGTCAGGGTGGCCTGCATTAGAGGGGGGTTGACTAATCTTTCACATCGAGGGGTAAGTCAATTCAGCCTCGTCACTTGAGTGTTTCCCTTTCGTGTCTTCGTGCCGCATTTCTGCATTAAATCGCTGTGGCGGACATGTCGATGGATGTCGGCTGGTTCGTGAAAGCCACTGGTGTAGGCGCGACCGTCACGTCCGATTTCATTGATGTCGATCACTCGCCGCGATCCCCTCACTTCCTGCGCCGAGAGCTCGGATCAAACGCAGTGAGAACAAGTCAACATCGTCAATTCCGATCCTATTCAAGCAGATAGACAATTATCCATATATATATATATATATATATATATATATATATATAGACAGGAGCTTTTCTGGTATACAATACCATTTATTTATCCGATAGGTATTTGGACCTATACAATGAAATATTTGTTATTTGGGTAAACGATACCTCCCATATGGCAGTAATATAAAATTTACAAACTAATCTTTATTCTAGGTGGAGATGGTTTAGGGAAAAGTATTATCTTTATTTAAAGTCTTTTTTTCGTTTTTTGCCTTCGCATCCAAGGGAACGATTCAAGACAAGTGCATACATGTTGTCGAGATAAGCCCCTGCGTGACGCGACCTACAGCCCCAATTCGTTCACTGGAAATTATTTTCCAGCACGACACAACAGTCAGGAACCGCTAATATGAAATAATAATGGAAAGGCCCAGGTTGAGATCCTGGCGATTGCCTATCCCATTGCAAGCTTCCCGCTTTCAGGAGCTAACGCGAACCAGCAACAGCGCCATAACGTGAAATGAAGTGCAGCCTTCATTGACCGAGAGCTCGACACACAAATGAATCGATTTATCACAATGACGACGATGACGTGGCGATGGTCAAAGCGACAAAACAACGCGGTAAAATGAGGAACGATGAGAATCATTCAGTCGGGAGAAGCGAGCATTGCTGTTATGGTGATAGGCTGAGAGGCTTAAGTGTCAGAAGTGTTTGATTCTGTTCTGGTCATTTTTTGTTCAACGGGCCAATAGAGTTTCCAGAAATCGAAATAAAAAATCCTCATCATTTGTTTTGATTTATTCACCGAACTCGATCTATAAGATCCACTACTTCGGCAACTTGAAACTGTCAAATTTACTTCTCGAATACCCGCTAAGGCTCCCAACGGCCTTTTCCCGAATCAACTTAAATAGTGTCCGTTATGTGCAGTTGGAACAACGAAGATGTTGGCAGGCTGGACAAAATGTCACCGCTAATCCTCTATTTCAATCCGCACAGCATCTGCTATAGCTGTTTCTTAATTGTACAGCTGGCCACTTTATTTAGTATTTAGGTAGAAACACCCTTTTCTGTTTCCCGCTTCTCTCAGCGCTATCATCGTAAAACAAGCGACGTCTGCGTATCTGTACGACGACGACGACGACGACAACGACGACGACGACAAATCCCGAGATCTGGTCACAGCGGTACGGTAGATGGCATCAGCACCGATGATGCAACCTGTTGGCAAAACGCAGACGAGAGGAAAGACTGAACGCGGCCAAAAGATATTCGTTCATTGTTTCAAAAACTCGGTAACTCGTTGTGATGTCGTTTGTAGGAATAATTGAACGCTACTAGCTGAATCATTCGTAACGCCTGCTCGCGCACTAGATAACGTCGTTTGAAATTTATGCCCCTCTGGAAACTGGCAGGAAAAAAGGACATCGAAGAAAGCAGCGAGGGCCAAGAATATTGATGTCGTCTGACAAAACTTGCGAGTAAGCCTGAAGGCAGAATGTTGCTTTGGAAAGAAGCCTGGAGCGGGGTGCTCCACTTAGTATATATTTGTGTGAACTCACGAGACAAATCGACGGAAGCCTGGTGCGAAGATTCAGCATAAACAGCGTCAGCCGTTGGAAGACTGTGGATATTGGTGGTAGTAGGACAGTATCAATGGTAGACAAGCGAGGCCAATCAACAACAATCCTCTCGCACGCAGTCGCATTAGCTCTTAGGCGTAGCCGTCGAGAGGAGATCTGAGAAGATTGAAGCGCGTAAATCATACGGATAAAATTAGCGGCTTTGCCGGGCTAATTTACGGTTTAATCAAAATAGCCCAATAAAAAAAAAGTATGATTGAGAGCATCATCATGATTATCTTATGTGTATGACCTTGTAAGATTGGGTGATTTACAACGCCTGGGTGTAATGCCGCGTACGTTTCACGTGTACAGCGGCGCGGCCGTATATTCAGTGGAAATTACAAATCTTGACGAGCTGTTTCAGCCTTTAACAGTTTCAGTAACGAGAAAAGAGATAGACAAAAGCAAACAGCGAGTATCTGTCCATCTTGTCGACCTGTATTATCTGAAGCGATAGCGAAATAAGAATGGCTATATAAATTTCATGGAGATTAGTTCTCATCAGAACAATCTTTCAAATTGTGTCCTTGGTCTTAAAGCTTACGAAGCTGAGTGAAGTTCAGAAGCGATAATAACATGGCCGCTAGAGTATGGAATTGATACACACATCTACTGGCAAATTTCTCGAAAAGAATATGCCTTCATAAATGATCAACTTATACAGCGTTGTCAGATCACGAGTTCAACTATAGGAAGAGCCATATGAGAGTTTTACTTGGAGCTAATGAAGAACAATTGATTCTCTGCTGAGACAAAAAAAAATCAGACAGGCAGACAGCATCTGCCTGTTTGGCAGATTGAAATCGTCGAAATTTGATAGAATTTCCACTTTAAATTGTTGTTTAGTTTCGTATTTTATCGTTGAGGCAGCTTTCAGCAGATATACACACCCTGAATCATGTAACAATACAACAGCCAATGGATTACAGGCGTGGCCAGCGCGGGCCTGTGCAGTGGCTTCAGGCTTTAAAACAGGGCCGCTCTAGAACAAATGAACACGAAAATAATTCGTTTGGGTAATGAACACAATTGATGGATGTATAATGAATACGATCGTTAGTTTCGACATTCTGTAAACAACCCACGACGATTTTGCCGAGTATTTACACAGCGAATCTGAATTAGAAAGCAAATGGAGAAGAGACCTTAAGAATAGTATTCCAATGTGCGTTCCGCTAGCAAAGCGTGCCCTTGTAGGATGGAACATTTATAGTCATTTGTTTCTCCCGCTGCCTGCTGTCAGTAAATGGACGCGGTGATTCATCGTGTTGGGGGTCCTCTCAAGTCGACTGGCACAGCATACGTGCCCGCGTTGAGCACGTCATTATTTCGATGGCGTTGTGACGCCTGGACACCTAATCACGCGAATATCAGCCTTCAGAATAGAAGCCACTATAAAAGTTAATTTACAACGATCAGGCAAAAGATTAACGTCCAACAACGTAATGATAAAGTACGCAATTTAAGTAAGGCCAAAAAAAAACAAGTTTAGACATAAGTATAGAGTATTTTTACCGAACTTCGAAACTGCATCTATCCAGAGGTCAGCTATTACGAGAATAGGAGACACATGAATAAGTGGAGCAGTTTATCTAATTATATCCTCTACCTTTGTCGTCAAGTAGAAATCGTACGCGAGCATTGGCGTGCAGCCTGCTCGGTGTTCCCGTGAGCGTCGTAACGCATCTTTGTTTTACGAATAGAACAAAAAAATCGGCTCATATAAATTTCAAATATCAGCAACGTTTCCCAAACGTCTTTCAGCTTATCATCGTTGGCTTATACGACAATTATCTATAGCTGCTTTTTTTTTTTTTATTTTTTTTTTTATCGTACCATCAGGTCCTAGTAACATACGCGAGTATAACAGTTAGTAACATGGTCATGATTAAGGCCAGCTTCCATGGAGGGCTGTATGAAACCGTAAATCAACTAGAATAGAACATACATACTAGCATTGCTTCTGCCGCTGTTTTTTTCGTCACAGCGGAGGCCCGCTCCGAAATAGCTGCATCGATGTTGATAGCGGAATATCATCAGGATCAGTTTATCATCGTTGTTATAGCCATAATAAGGACAGCAGTACAGGCGATGATATTGAATGCCAATCACTTGACGCTGGCCCAAAAATCATTGATTTTTTGGTATCATTACTGCCGTTATACAGATACGTTAATTTACTTATATTGTGCGAGCATATATACATAGATGTCCGTGATAATACATCTTATGCATGCAGCGTGACATCGGCGGTGATACCAATGTTCGCGGGTGAGCCATATCGTTTCGTTGCCTTCTAGGGGCACAATACTGTTGCCTCGCTAGTGACTGGTGTCGTAATATTAGCGAGGAATATCTACTAGCTTCGCCTGACAGCCAGACGGACATAGCACGATACGGAATAATGTTTACGGGTTAGTCCAGGAGGCAATCGCATGATGTTAAATACTGCGACGTTGAAGACGCTTTCTGTGGTTCCGGCCCCCCGTCCAGCCATTAATCGGATGCTGTCTGAAGGCTCACAGAAGATGAAAAGTGTGAAGTACAACGGATCATCTGCAGTAGAAAATCAGTTCGAACAAACGCATTGAGCTTTAGAAAAGAGCGAAGCTTGTCGCATTTCGGTCTAGGTGCTAAATGTTTTTATTGAGTCGTCATGGATTCGACCCAACTACCGATGATCAAATTTATAATGAACTAGGGAACCGCACAGATGCTGTTTACTTTAGTTTAGTTCGAAATTCTGGCATACATTTTGAGCTTGTCGATTCGAGAACAACCGCACAACAAGAACCGCACGAGGCCTAAATCCTTGTCTACGATCCCACGACTGTTCCGCTTTTTATATACCTTTAGTGAATTCAATTAATAAATTGCTGAGAAAATTCAATAAATTGCTGAGGTCCGCACCTATGTAACGCTTACAGAAGCGTATGCACATCGACTTTTACATTCCTATGGCGATCGTTTAGGCGTCTATGGAAATATTCCCTCGAACCAAGCACAGAGCTAACTAATACAGAATGCGGGACCTATTGGTTTTGTTTCATTAATTTAAGCGTGGACCGATCCTGTTTGTCGTTGAGCCGATTCGAGGCGCCCCACGCGTTCTCCCTACGTTTCTCTCTTACTCCCGTTGACCCCTCTGGCCACGTCGTCTGACTCCGTTTCCGACCGCAGCAGAGCAAGCACTGGCCGGGCGTCATAAAGTAGTACTAATGATGTGTATGAACACACCGCAGTCAGCGTTTCGCGGCGCGTTCGACAGGCCCGATGATGATATAGATTGATAGCTCTACAATAGGCTCAGCTTGTATTGATACCAGGGACAAACAGGCACTAGCTAAGCAAATTGGACAGATATACTGTCAGTTGTATGACGCGTATTGGCTGACGCTCGTGTTGTGGGCTACCCAGGTTGATCTAAATGATTTGCTCGGCATCACCTCATGGACGCACACGTTGAAGAATGGCGGCCTCGATCATCCTCAATCTGACCGGGGAGCAAGTGCGGGCTCGTTCCGATCATTGCTGACTCTTCCAGCCAGCCTATACCTCTCCCCCCTTCACTTGATGATGTTTGATAGCATTTCAACGCCCCTATTTCCTTTCGCCTCGATCCATCCATAAGTGGGCTCGCCGACGCGGTTCACCGCTGCCGTTATCGTCACTGTTATTGTCGTAACGTTGACTAATAGTGGCTACAATCAACAGAGTCAGGCGAAGGGAGGGGGACACGAACTGCCTCGATTGCTTCGGTGTCCTCTGTATGGAGATGGTAGAGGGCAGAGATGGGACGTTTTCTGGCGTAATCATTAGTCGGTCGACTGCCATGGACCTTAGCAGATCAAACATTATAGCAGCTGTTGGCTATCGGGAATAGGCAATCGCCAATCAATGCAAGAAGAGGTACCGATCGCTGTGGCGAAGAAATTCACTAAAGCTGATGCATCAGATACACAAAGCACAAATCATCATTTCAAATTAACCGCACCATTATGCCTCTCATGATGGATGATCTGGCGTATACGCGGTGTGTATTTATATAAACATACACTAATAACTGGAATGGTGTGTATCGGAGCCTATTCTGGGGAGGAACTGCTGTTTTCATAGAACTGTTATAGTTCTTTTAAGCGTATGGTACGCTGGACCATACCAATCGATTGATTGATTTGATTGATGAATGATGTTAATCACAAAACGAAACTAATAAATACTTTTTCTTTTTACAGAAGGAAATATTACTAGCGGATGACCATTTTACTTTTTTCTTCTTCTTCTTCTTCTTCTTCGTCTTGACGTACAGGTTATGTCCGACCCGTTCGAACTTATGCGCACCTTTTTTTAGATGAAATTCTTCTTCGACAGTGACCTTAAAGCAAATACTTGTTAGAAAATTGTATAAGTAGGATTTTAAAAAAATTGCCACGGGACCACGAGGTGTTCTGATGTTTTTTGATGAACAAGTTCCGCAGTTTGCTTGCCTTATGAAGTTGAGATGAAAGGGCTTGTTACATAGAGCTACCAAATTATTTCCCTATTCGGCTATCTTGATTACACTAGTTGCATCGTTTCTGTATTATGATACCGATATAACAAGTTACTTAATATTAATAAATTGCATCAAGGTAGCATGTTCCCCTTTTCCATTTTAGTGTACAACATGACGCCCAGCGGCTCAGTTTACGTCTTAATTTGTCGTGTTAAGAGCATCATGAGCGAAGACATACGTAATGTTAGCGTTACGGAAACCCTATCAAATGCGACATATTTCTTTAGCTCTGTAAGTAACTGTCGTATTGGAGTCCTGTCATTTTCATCGAACTCAGAAGACAATAAAAACTGCATTTATTTTACTCAGTAGTTGTCACGGCTGAAATTGTTTAGATCAGCGTAACCCACGAAAAGTTCGTAGTTGGCACATCAATCGTTATATACGTTACGCGCTTACTTCTGACGACAACGACTCAAGGGATAAACTAGTTTACATTTACGTGATATAGATATAGTTACTAGCGCATTACGTTCAGGATAAGCAAAGGCTCATACAGGAATATAAGCAAAAAAGGAGAAGAAAAAAAAAATAGGACGTCAATCTTTACCTGATTCACGAATCGATTTCGATGACTTAGTGAACGAAGCTAGGCAAATTGATTCTGTGATAAATAATATTATACACTTTATCGTGCATTATATACTTGCAGCAACGTAGACACCTACTAATACTATAGTACCTAAGGACAATTTTAGCGCGCCTCATAATTTGGCGAATAAAACGGCCTGGCCCGAAATCGTGAGCAGTAATCATAACCATTACCGTACTCTACTAGTTTAGTAGAAATAACGTTCATTATTAACATGATCGATGCCTGTTTCTGTAGAATTATTGTGATTAGCATTTTTTTTTTTTTTTTTTATCTGACCGCCGATACGCTCACGTATAAATGTTATTCATTTCCTCTTAAGACTGCCTATATGTCTCCTTTTTGCCTTTGGTGAGCACTCGTAGCTTCTAGTATTAACGGATGGTTTCTGGCAGCCTTTGCACGTCCGCTCAACGTGAATGAATCAAAGTTATGTATGCGTTTATATATTCGTTCAGGCACTCCCTTCCTTGCCGGCGTGTGACGCGCTGTAGCGGTACTGCCATGTACTCACAACGCTTAGTAATATTCGCGGTTGCCGCTTAAAATTTGCTCCACTTTACCGGCATATGTTTCCGTATAACTCATTCACGCCTATGGCTAGGGAGGAGCTGGTTAATGGTGTCAATGAGTGATGATGACCAGTTATAAACGTGCTGTCATATAAATTACAGTGGAGAGAATAGTGGCTCTCTATTCGCATGTGGTAGTAAAGGTAGTGGTGGGTATGGGTCTTGGGCTGGTGTGAAGAAAAAGTATGATTCAGATGTTTTGTTTGTGGGTGGTTTCAGGATGTTGGAACTATTTGTGGAACAACGTATGGGTGGACGGAATTCGACTACGTTTTTATATTATTATATTTGACGAACGGGCAGATACACTTACAAATCGCTGGTCCGTGCTGGAACGAAGAAACTTGAAAATTTTATGCTTGAACCGGCGGATAAAACAGCGTACTTTTTAGGCATTCACAAAGCACGCCGTAACGTTGAACTAGGACTCGCCTTTCGTCGAGCAGGCCATTGTGATGAGCTTTCACACTATCGAAGAACGAGTCGAGAAGCATTTTTGACAAATATATATGTGGCGACGCGATACAACCTTTTCTCAGTTCACTGTTTGTCGCATGTGTGTGATCGCACGTTCGCAACTGAATTGATAGAATTAACTGTCCTGCTCCTTTGGCCTGATCTGAAAATAGTGCACGACATTCAACAGTGTGTATTAGTACATATTTAAGGCCGAGTTGTTGTCCCCTCACCCCTCATATTCGGGCTAAATTATGAGATGGCAACGACCCGCCGACGGCATCCTTCTGGTCGCCGAACATTATCACTGCTAATCGGCACATTGAATACTATCGAAAGCATAATTATAAACGTATTGTCGGCGTGCAAAGCTGAGAATTCAGGGCAAATAATAAGACAGATGCTCACTCGTTGATTAGATAATTCTATGCACGTATAACAAAACAGACACCATGCATTGGCCATATGTTCTCACTAACGTGCGACGACGCTATATGTCTATTCCACAACGACCCTTTTGCTCACGCACACAGACGCTGCTCATGTCTGTCTCCACTTCTGAACCAATTCGTTTTATTTTGTTAACGCCTCCACTGTCGCAACACGAATTGAGTCCCGCCACTGCTGACGCTGTTGATCGATGAGTTTTACGTCTTCTGCTTTAAGCCATTGATAGATCGACTTTATTCTGTTGCTAACCGTATTCCTCGCTGTAGGGTTCCTCTGAATTATCGTCGTTCAGAGTGTGCGGTATTCTCGCCGGCCGAGATCTGTATCGTGTAAAAAATGTGAACTATCAGAGACAACGAACGTAAAAGAGAGATCTTATACAAGGTATTGTATGACGCAGCCGTCATCAGTTGCCAAAACACGAACGGCCGCGTAGAAGTGGGCAGGCAAGATTGATGTCGGTTACATCGATGACGGGACACAAGTCAGGATGATGATGGTATTGAGCGACGTGCCAGAACGCACATATACGTGCAGACGAATGTACAATAAGTAAAGTTTTGCTTGGCCAGCTACCAGACCAGATATGCCAAAAGGTCGTGGAAACTTCAAATTTCATAGAAGTCATCTCGGCTCGATAGCATGACGTGTAATAACACCGAAAAAATAACAAAGAACATCTGGAGCCCTCCATACAGCTTACCGCCGCCATACATTTTGCACATTTCCATACGCATTCAGTATACCTTCAACGTGTTTTGTATACTAGCAACGCAAGAATTCAGTGACAGTGTCGACGTTACAATGTCGCTGTAATCGGTAATGCGATGGCTGCGCCATTGATCGGACGCTAGATCTGACGTTGAACGATGAATGATCAAGTGCCATCCGCAACAAAACCCCGTACCTCGCGTCGATCGAGTCAAAGCAATAGAAAGTCACGGACACACACGCTATGGCGAAAAAGCTATCAGATAATAACGTTCCTGCCGTAAGTAAAGAGAGGAAAAACAATATTTTACTCAGTGTATGCGTTTGGCGACCAACTTATACGAATTAATTATATATTATGTACTTCATATCACCTCATCTACGAAGAGAGGAGTACCGCAAACGACGAATTACAGGTAGAACGGAATACAAATTCTGTCCATTTTTTTTTGTGCTCGCGTTATCGTCGATTCTGGCACAGCACCATTGACAATAGCTACCATACCGTAACGATGATTTAGCTGCGTTTCAATTAGCCTGCCTATAGCGAAAAGTTAGTAAAGGCTTCCTTGGACTTTTCGAGGCAGCCAGCGATCCAATCAGAACGATATTTCCTGACTGACAGTGCTTGAATCAATGTGGCTTCTTTTAACAACATTTGATAACGTTTGAACAACAGCACATTTGATATTGAGCCGTCAACATGTAATAGATGTATGTTTTAAAGCTGCGATTGTGTATGTTCAACAAGGCTTTAATGCGTTTTGACAGCTCGGCCAATAACGAGAGTCCTAAATCAAACCTATCGACACCTGTAGCCTCTGTTTAGCCTAGGACAAGTATTTTCTACATAAATTGATCTCTTTATATCGTGAGTTTTATGTATCGCCACTAGGCATCCCATCAGAAAGATGGGCCCCCGCCACGAAACGAAGTCTGTCTATGCCCCTATTCGAATCTGTGTGTCCAAGATTGGCAGGCGAATATGTTGCCTATAAAGCTACGACGGGGACTGACCGATTTTAAACGACAGTTGATTCTATCTTAGCGTTATAAAGCCTGACGAGGTTAATTAAGATCCTGATTAGATCTTTCTTAGCGGTAATAGTTTTTCCCAAATATGTTTGAAATGTATGCTTAACTGTTGACATTCCTTAAAACTATACATCTGCATTATAATTAATGAAATTACAATTATTTTTTCAGTCTAAATAAAAGACATTTGAGATACATAGGTATAATGTCTCATCTGTGTAATCATAAAGCTTCTAAAGACATACAGATCTTTGACCGGTTGACCTGGTACATAGTATTTTGACGATAGTGCATACACATTGTTTGGGGCGAGGCTCTGTTTTTGCACGAGCTATGAATCGTTTCTATGGAGCTTAGAAAACTACTAACTACGTCGACACCAAGTGATTCTATCAGGTTTTCATGTACCGTGGCAATGGCATCTGCAGAAAATATGCCAGGACCAGTGTATATAAATAATAGCGATGCTATTCAGCGTGAGTCAGAATCAAATGATAGAGCGGAAATCAGCGATTGATTTCAGATATCTAACCAGCCGACCTGCAGTACATCCATATCACGTTGTTAAAAAGAACCTATGTTGCACAATGCCCTAATCGTAGGGTTTTTAAAGATCGGCCTCAAGAGGCATTTCTATTGACAACCGAGTCGTACCATTTATAACTTGAAACGGTACCCTTCTGGAAAGTCCAGATATGGACTTCATCACCTAACATTTACGCCTAACAAAGTCACCTAAAAATTACCTAACAAAAGGTCTTCTCCTGCGGGCAAGGTTCATCGTTGCTTTGCTGGAAGACAAGATCATGTGCAAATGACACTGGCTGTATTTTATTGACGCCTACAAACGTGACAAAGAGAGCGGGATTAGTGAACGTAAATAAAAAATTTATGAAAGGTCCATTCTTGGACAGCTTCAGCGCCAGGACGTGCATAACTGTAGTAAATAGCTTCTGTGATCATCAAACGCTATGATAGATAAGGGCAAGATGAACCCGCTCTACTGAAAGTAGTATTTCAGTATGACAGACGGCAAAAGTCAGAATAAGGTGATAGATTATAGTTTTTTGTCGGGTAGTTGTGGTTATCTAGTATCGATTCTAGTGCTTTCCGCGGTCTAGTGCTCTATTATACATATTGTAACAAAGGTTTAGTTGAATGATTTAGTTCGTCTGCGTTATAGTTCTGGGTTGCAGACTAGGGACACCAACCGTATTTGTTTTCAAAGCGACTATCTTTAGGAGGGTTATTTTCCATTCCAACCTTGACCAGTTCTTATTGCGCGTGCTTGTTCCTCTACCCATTAAGTTAAGATTTGTTTGCTGAAAGATATTACGTAGACTTTTGTTACAAATAGAGGATCATCTGCTGCACCATTAGAATGGCTAGCTTAGTAATAATTCAGAATGATAGTATAGTTGATGATTCGAAAATGTCTTCAGAGTACAACCTAACCAGCTTTGAATATCGGAGCCGTCCAACAGGGGTGTGCGTATCTTAGCTGAGCACACATAAAGCAGTGTCTGTATATCAACCCTAACCTCAAGGTGGCGGATTTGTACGTTAAACATACGTGGATGGATGGCCAGGACTATACGGCCTACCTGGCATTGCATCTTTTACTCAACGATGCCGTTGTTCTTCTTCTAAATCCGATTTCAACCGATCCATAGTTATCGTGCAAACCTTCACCAGCTTCCACTTTTACGTCAGTATAATAATGCTATTAAACTTTATTATTACTATATGTCTAAATATGTTACAGATAGCCGCTGGTTGTCGTAGCTATATTTTTCTAGCTAGGCCTGTAATCGTCGTAACGCACAATAGCCAATGGCTCTATCTAAATGTATTAAAGAGCTAGCGTTGCTTCACCTCCTGCACACGAAGAGATCTGCCTGGTATAGGCATGTTGAAGCTAGGAATAGTTTCCGTCCGATTGTACGACTGCTTACAACGCTTTTCTACACAGAATCAGCGAAACGCTTAATATTGGGGCCGGACAAATCCTACCAAGAGATGAGTGCATATACGGGTTAGTCGAACGAGACCCGTCACTTACTTAGACACGAACATGGCGCCAAAATGCCCATTTCGGCGACATATATCGACAGCGAATTCATATCTATTAGAGAACATTTTTACTATTCGAAAACACTACGGAGCTTTTCTACTACTGAAAGAATTCTTAAGACTAGAATAAAGAGATAGGCTTTATATGAAACACGAGTGCATCTGTTATCATCTATCTGGGTTTCGTGGCACCCGACTCGAGGTAAACACGACAGCCCATGTAACTGAATTGCAGTGTGTCCTTTTTAGAAGCTGAACGTAGCTCTCTGCCATTACTGCTAATCATCGATACGGAGTATCGCTATAACAAATTGTCTCTTTTAGTGACTTTTTTCTACTTGCAGATAAACTGTACAAAGGTAACGTTATTCAACATCAAATTCTGCTACAACACAGCTAAAATCTTGTTTCAACCATTTTCAAAGTCAACGGTATATTTGCTTGATAGTCAATATGGAGCGCCTTTTTTGACATGGGGAATTGGGTATCCGTTTGTGACACACGAGGCTCAGGGATCACGGTTAGTTTTTCTGCCGATTTTTATTTTGATACACTTTATAATGTAATTCGTTCGATTGAAAAATTTGCCCGGTTTAGGGTCGGGAACATGGACGTTTAGTGCGGGGTCGACGGTGTTATGGGCTAACTTTTCTATATGCTGCTTAAGGTGCCCAATTTCTAGTTTCGTTCGTACTAATAACACCAGAAACATGCCTCTATAGAGGGAAGACTCGTTTTCTGATCCGAGTTTATAAAATGGAATCAACGTCGCCCCATTATGAACGAACCAATATCAAGCGGGTCAATCATCGTTCCTCGTCCTTCATCAAGCTCGTTAGTGACACGTCAGCATCCGATGTTTCGCTATTCCACGCGAAGCTACGATTGCGCGCGTTAGATCAAGCGCAGACATCGTCTCCCTAATGGTAAACCGCAGATATCAACACCGAGTGCAGTACTGATTTCAGTTTACGTTTTACTAGATCCGTTGTTCCAGATCAAGAGAATGTATTCAAGCGTACTAATGAAATCGTCGAGCGATTGTTGCGGATATCAATTAATGGTGATATATCGAAATATTTTTCGCGTTGGACATGACAACGGAGGCCCCGGTTTGTCGGAAGTCCTGTTTAAGGAACACCTATCAACACAACAGTAATTAAACCTGACTGAAACTAAGTTCATTTGTTTGCGTTTTACGTCCGGTCGTGTCCCTAGTCATGGGTTGAAAATATTAAACAAATATGTCCTATTTAAAAATGATAAAAAGTATAAGCGTAAATTAAAAGTGTGTATATGTGATATGTCCACCCATGTGGATAGA